AAACAGTTTGAAATATTTTTACAATTTAAAAAAACGGTTTCCTATTTGAATATATTTTAAAATGTATTTTATATATGATGGCAAAGCTGAATTTTTAGCATCATTACTCCAGTCTTTGGTGTCACACGATCCTTCAGAAATCATTCTAATTTTCTGTTTTGGAGCTCAAGAAATATTAATGTGAAAAGCAATTGTGCTGCTTAATTTTTGTTGTGGAAACGGTGATAGATTATTTTCAGTATCTTTTGATGAGAAGAAAGTTCAAAAGAACCACATCAAGTCTTTACTGTCCCTTTTGAACAATGTAATGCATTCTTGCTGAATAAAAGTATTACTTAAAAAAGAAAAATCTGATATTCTGGTTCCTATGTGGCTTTCCTGTGTGAGTTTATGGGAACTTTTGCCTGTTTTATCATTCACCAAACTAAAATCTTAAGTATTAGAATATACTAGAAGCACATCTCTTCTTAACATCATTTCCATTTGTAGCACAAAGGATACTGGAAAAGTCATGCACTAAAGCTTAACACTCAATAATAAAACACTTCAAATAATAAGCGTGAAAGCCCAGGTTGTGTGTGGTGATACAGTACATAAATATCATGCTAATGAGTAATTGGTATCATATTTGTATATGTGTTTTATTTTTCCCTGAGTGTGCTTAACATTTCAAAGACTTTATCACGCATACACTCGGCAGTGGTGTCTAATGGGAGTGTTGTTCTTCCAAGAGTTAAGCTTTTTTGTTTGGTTCACTCCTAATTACCTAAAACTGCCTAATTCTGTGAAGCTCACACTTTTATTTATGTAATACTAGACTTGTACTAATAGAGTGCACACACATGGCCCCAGGCACATTTCTTGTCTCAGGGTCATCTCAACGTGACGACACAAGAGACTCACTTTTGGGAAACAGTGACAGTATAAACCTTTGATGCTCTGAACGGGGTGTTTTAAAGTTTTAAAAACATCCCGAGGAGCCAAAAGATAATTATTGATGAAGAATATGTGTTCAGTTCATGCGTAAGGGAATAAGAAAGAGATAGGCAGGCCAGTGAAGGAAAGGAGAGGCTCAAAACGAGACGCATAAAATCAAAGAGTTGGCCGGGAGCTCTGCCGTTTCATCCAGGATAACTCTGATGAGCTTGAAGAAAAGGCTGCCACTCTAATGTCAAATTTTTGTGACATTTTGTCCACCATAAGTTGAAATATTAACCGGGCGGTTATGAAGACTCTTGCTGAAGCCTGAATATCTCTGACTTTCAGTTGGTGTGACACAGATACAAGCCAACTGTCTACATAACTTTAACAGCCTTTCATAATGCATCACAAAAGTTCAAAGAAGTTTCAGGAAAGAAAAGGATGACAGATGAAAGGTGATATGAAGGAGAGAACTATCAGTATGTGTGTGTGTGTGTGTGTGTGTGTGTGTGTGTGTTTGCTCGAGGCTTTGCAGACATTGTGACCTTAAATAGCTGAGAACTCATTCTCTGCTGTGGAGTTTATTTCCACTGTATGATTCAGTACAAGCATCAGCCTGAGACTAAAAGACACATGAAAGCGCTTGATGGACACATTGTTCTTTCCTGCGTTGGCATTTCCTGTTGAAACAGGAAGTTTGGAAAGGATATATTGGACTTGTAACATTTCACATTTATCTTATTATTATTATTGTTATTATTTTTAATTGTTTTGGTTGCTATGGTCGGTGTAGCTATGCATTTGCTAGGGTGTGGTTGCTATGGTGTTCTATGTGGTTGCTATGGTGTTCTGGATGGTTGCTAGGGTGGTTGCCATTTTATTTGATCTATTTATTTATTTTTTACAAAGGAGTACACTATAGCATATAAAAAGTTGTGTTCGGGTCATTTTGACTTGGAGAGGATTTTCTTTTTCTCAAAAATCTTAGTTAAGTAAATCTTAATAAATCTAAAACTTACTGACTTCACTATTTAATCTGCGTCAAACTCTTGCCATTTCTATTTGTCACATTAAATGTCTGACAGGGTATAAATTCTTCACAAATATTTTTGGATAATATATTTGTACTTTTGAGGGATTTTCTCCCCCCACCTTGTTACACTTGTGGTTTTCATGGCCAAAAATGACCGGATTCCAGAAAATAGCTTATAGATCTCTCGTTATGCTATATTATCACCAAATATTGGATTCAATCTTTATGCAACGAAGATTTTGAGTGAAAAAAGCAGTATTTGTGGATAATTTGGTCAAGATTCAATAAAATATGAGAGAAATTTGCACTGTTTATCACAGTAGTGTGCTTTAATGTTTAACCATGAAGTTTGTTTTGAAATGAATTCATGTGGCACAAAGTCACACTTGAGGTGTTCACGGTTAAAATGACTGGCCTACAAAAAAAAGCTGATTAATTATCACCAAATATTGGATTTAATCTTTTGTCAACTTGTTTTCTTTCAATTAGGACAGGTTTTGTATTTATTTTTGTAACTGACAGATTGTAGGTCCCATTTTTACCCGGGAACACCAAAGGTGTTACAGGTTTTTTTTTAACACAGCGTAAGGGTAAAAAAATGTTAAGTAGAGAAGAGAATTAAGTTTCCTGAGGAAGGCTGTCTGAAAGACTGAGTTTTGGACCAAATATTAAAGGCTGAGTTTTAAACAGTTTTATAGGTACAAACAGCAAGTTGCAGTTGGTTAATCTGAGATGGAGCTGAAGTATATCTCATAGTCATATTGCTAAAGTATGGTGGACCGACATTTGTTTAAAAATGAGTAAGGGCATTTTGAAATCAATTCTGTATTACACAGGTAAATTTAAGCAGGATTTAACTAGTCTGCATTTTTCCAGCTGCGTTCTGAATAAGTGTCTGATTGACGTCGTTTAACTAATTTAATACATTTTTAATGTTTTTTTTTTTCTGTATTTATTCAATAATGTGTTGGTTGCTCACAGAGTCAAATATGCTGTATTATGTTTATGCAAATATATTGTGTAGGTGCAGTTGTCACATTGTTCTTTAAGGCTTGACTCACTGATTGTATGTGAAGCAGTGTGTGTGTGTATGGCTTTGGTCCAGTGAGTCCCACACACTCTGTGTGAAATGTACAGATACACTCCCATCCCACGCGAGAGCAGATCAGAGGGGTTACATCACAGCGAAATGTGGCAGCAGTCAAGGAGTGTATGAGTGAAAATGTGTTGTGATCTGATTGCTCTGACATTGTGGGAGACTTCAAAACGACGTTAAAACAATACGATTGCATGCATGGAGCACTCTACAGGAATCAGAGGCGTCTGCGTGTGTGAATGGCTAGTCTTGTGCCGCACACTAACTCCCAAAGTAATAACATTTTGTCTAATCTTTTGGATTAGGACACGGCTGATAAATTAACTTCCTTTTAAATTAAGTACAAACTTCAAAGCAGCCTATTCAACATAATGTTACATGCCTTGCAGTGGTTTATGAAACCCCTCCCTGTCAATTAACAATGTCTGCTGCTGAAATGAACATCTCCTCTCAGCGGGCTGCCGCTAACACGCTCATTGTCATTTTCTCAGCTGCTATTGTCCCTGTTATATGATAACCCATTCTTTTTAAGGGCTATATCCTACACTTTTATAGCATTGTTTTTTGGCAGTTTTACGTTATCTTTTCCCAATCTTCCTGACAAATTTGAAAGGTACAGTAGCAAAAACCACCTGTTCTGAATTCTATGTAAATGACCTCTACCGTGATTGGCTGAACAGTTTGCCTGTGTAATGAGTACACTCTCAGAAAAAAATTTGCACAACTTATACCTTTAAGCCCGGGACACACCAAGCCGATGTCAAAGAACGAGCGGTGATGAAAGCTGACTGTGTTGTCGTACCATCTTGACTTAATTGCTTGCTTTTATCACTTTCACTTTTATTCTTGTGCGCTAAGCTGAACAGCCAATCAGAGTTCTCTCTCTCACCGACGGCCTGAATCGACATGCTGAATCGGCCCCAAAAAAACCCAACAGCGTCCGATTAGAGCGAATCTGTGCGGATCACACCGGAAAAACTAAGCCGACTGATGCTCAAAAACGGGCCGACATTGGCTTGGTGTGTCCCGGTCTTTATGGGTATTACTATAACTTGGGGTATTACTACTAGTCTAAGGTACTAAAATGCAACTTTTATGGGTTGATAATGCACAAAGTTGTCCTTTTAATGGGACTGCCACAGCGACAAGCTGTTGTGCCCCTAAAGGAAGAGTTTTTGCACATTTCTTTCTAACAACTCTTATTTACAGTGATCTCGTCCTCCCCGATAACAGCCTCTTAGCAAGTTCACAACACAATTTGGCCAGAAATGTGCCATGCAACTGCGTTTGTCTTCTAAAGATCAGGGAAAATCCTGTTTTCCACGTTATGACCCATTTAGATTGTTTTACTTGGGGAGTCAAAAAGTTAAGTAAAGGTCATCTTAGGTCCTGATCTTCTTCTCCGGAAGCTCTAAGCGGTGGGTGTAACTGTTGGCAGATTTGGTTAATAACTGACTTTACATCATTGTTAGTGATTTGTTTATTTCTGGATTTATTTGTCAGTGGAATGTTTATGCAGAGACTCCCAGAGTTTAACATTTTTAGTTTTTTGTTCAAATAAGCAAAATAATTTTTTGTTAATGTTCTTATCACTACAAAAATAAAATAAAAATACAATATTTTTTTTTAAACCATGATAAATCAGAATCAGAATCAATTGAATCAGTATCATAATAAAATAATAAAGCATATATATATATATATATATATATATATATATATAATTACAAAGATATATTCTATGAAAATAAATTAATATAATTACTTTACAATTCATTTATTATATTATAATTATTATTCATTTATATATTTATAATACATTTATTTTGCCGTAAGAATATTTAAGTTGTCTTTTAGTGAAAACTAGATGAAATACTGATTGATAAAATGTTTTTTGCAGTAAAGCCTCTCTGAGAAGAGCGAGTCTGAAGTGGCCAAGAACAGAGGAGTTAGTGTTTCAGTGTTGATGTTCAGGTCTCAGTGGCCGAATATAAGGACCCTTATACAGAGAGTGCTAAAATGTTCTGCTCCTGCTGCATTCCAGCTGTGCGCTTCAATCCCAGCTGTTCATTCAGCTCAAATCCCACTGCCTGCTTTGATCCTACACACCCTCAGCACAGCAGAGGAAAGCCCCCTTTATCATCTTCCTGCCAGCCCAACCAACAATGTGTGGAAGTGAGTCAAACCCATTTGAACTGGTCCTGCTCTCTGAGCCTCCAGCCTTCACTCGCTCACCAGACAAAGAGGACGTTCAGCCCTGGCTGGAGCTTTCTGGGCTCAGCGACAGCGTGGCACGCCATGGCGGGCTTCTCCGTGTCGATCCAGAACTTGCATGGTGCAACTCTAAATCTCGTGCCGCTTTGTTCCCTCGTCGTAGTTCCTCTGACCGGAGCAGGAGGTGGAGGAAGAATGTGGGGTGACGCAATACTGGTCTGCTCTCCGACTGTCACCGGAGGTATTCACAGCGTTTATCTTAGCAGTGGGGAGGGGGACATGAAATGGAAATTAATTTAAATTAATGTCTTTTTGGAAATTAGTGTACTGCCTCGCTGCCTAACTGACATGAAACCTCAAAAGAGATTTAGGCAACACTTTACAATATAGTTAACATTAGTTGATGTATTGACTAACATGAACTAACAATGAGCAATACATTCTTTACAGTATTTATTTGTTAATGTTAGTGAATACAAATACAGCTGTTCATGTTGGTTCACAGTGCATTAACTAATGTTAACAAATACAACCTTTGATTATAATAACGTATTAGTAAATGTTGAAATGAATATTAACTAAGATTAATAAATGCTGAAGAAATATTGTTCAATTTTAGTTCATGTTAACTAACTAATGTTAACTCATGAACCTTATTGTAAAGTGTTACCGAGATTTATTTGAAATGAGTTGATGCTCTAGAAAGGCAGCAAACCTCATGGGAGATGATGTGATACTCTAAAAAGCTAAAAAGCTGAACAACACTGCAGATTGGCAGTTTTTTTTTTTGTCTTATTTTCCAGTTAAAATATCGTAGAATTGTTGAAACAAGATAAATTGACTTGAGAAGCAATGCTGCATAAGATAATTAGATTTGTTTGCAGATAATGTGTCTTTAATATGAGTGTAATTTGCCTTAATGCACTGGCAGATTTTTTTCACTTGCACTTTTTTTTAACTTATTTCTACTTCAGACAAGTAAACAAAAAAGAAACACAAAATGACAAAATACACTTGTATGCAAGATGCAATCTATGAAAAAAAGGCTTATTACATTATACGGTGTGGGTTCTTAAAAAAATGTCTTGTTTTAAGGATGTTAATAAATTTTGTCTCGAAAAAATTTTCAGTGTACACACAGACAATTTTACGCTAAAATAGTGAGTTTATATATTAATAGTGAATTTATCAAGGATCAGCTCTCTCCCTCTCTCTCTCTCTATATATATATGTGTGTGTGTGTGTATAATATATATATATGCAACAGAGGAATGCCTATATGTCTGGGTTTTAGCACACAATGTCAGTCTCATTATCAGATAAAGTAGAGAAAACAATCTGCTAGATTTAGTTAATATATTTAGCTGCAAATGAAATATAATCCTGTCTTCTTTTCATGCTTTCATGTATTTATATACAGACGTGAGATGGGTTCTGATGTGTAGATGAAGTTTGATTATTCCATGACTCCGGTTCTTACTCTCTTTTCATAGCCAGTAGCAGATATTCAATGCAATCCAGTGTAGACTTTCCGGCTCCAAAGCCATTGTTCAATTTAAGGTCAGAGATTTGGATCACCGCCATTATACCTGCAGTCTCGCTGGAGCTGCATCAATTCTTTTTAACTTAGACTACCATTAATGGTGCATTTGTCTCGTATTTCATCAAGTGAAATCTTTACAAGTGTGCTGGTTCTCTAATGCATTATTTGTCATTAGTGTTGAAGATGCATAAAGTAATTGCTTGGTTTAGTTTGTTTAATTGGCCAAATACAATGGTGGTCTTAGATTTTATTCTGAGATTACTGAAGCTTATAAGCATAGATGTACGTTGTCAGTTTTGATGTACAGTAATGTATGCACTAAGTATACACTAAAAACACTTCTTTAAGAGTTTATAAACATACATTTTACACCCACACACACGTTGTGTTTTCATGTTTTATGGGGACATTCCATAGACATAATGATTTTTATACTTTGCAAACTGAATATTCTATCCCCTTACACTAACCCTACCCCTAAACCCATCACAGAAAACTTTATGCATTTTTACATTTTCAAAAAAAAAATCACTTATGGTGTGTTCACACCGAACGCGAATTTAATTATTTGCGCGAGTAGATTACATACAAAGTCAATGCAAAGACGCGAATAGACGCATCATTTGCGCCGGGCGTTGCGAATGACGCGAATTGGGTGACGCGTTTGCCGCGAATGTCTTCCGCGCAAGTTGAAACATTTGAACTCGAGCGAATGTTCAAGGCAAGCGTCTAACTAGACGCGTATTTGACGCTCTATTCGCGTTCGGTGTGAACAGACCATTAGTGTGATTTATAAGCTGTTTTCCTCATGGGGACCAAAAAATGTCCCTCAAGGACAAGGATTTTGGATATTTCCATCCTTGTGGGGACATTTTGTCCCCATAACGTAGGGTTTACCAGGACACACACACACACACACCAGCCATATTGTTTGTAACACTAGTCCTCCTCATAGTCAGTCATAGCATCATAAACAGCAGTCACAGGACGCCTGTCATCTGTCTTCAGTTCTGACATCACAGATGATAGATGACTGAGAGTGATTGTGACTGGCATGATTCCAGGTCTGATTAACAAGGTCAAATTAATACGTTAAGTGCACCGCATGTGTGTGCGGTCACGATGATGACTGATAACAACTGACTTGACTAAGTAGTGTTGTGTGATCACATCTCTGCTGTGCTAATTCAGTTCAGTGTGGAGAATGCCAGCATCAACTCTATTCCAGTCTTGCGTTATACCCTCGGGTGCGGCATCGCCCTCCATCCACTGGAGCAAGGGCAGATTTATAATGACGGGTGTAAGTTCATGAGCGTGCTCGGACTGAGCAGTTGGTGTCATCGGTTAAAGAGGACAGGGCAATTGAGGACAGCAGGGATGGTGAATGACAGCACAGTTATGATTAGAGTCAATCAGAAGCGCGAAAGATCACCGTCATTTTTCTTATTAAACCGTCATATTGTATATATAGTAAGCGCTAATGTCTGTGATGAATGTGTCCACTGTGATGATTTTTCCTTATTAATAATTATTACATGATACCGCATTAACTTCCATAGTGTGATGTATTTCCAGGTGAAACAGAAAATGAGTGGGAAATAAGATTTTCTTAGTTTTAGCCATCAGGGTTTGATTGGATCATAAAAAGTAGGCTATGTTATTGGTTAATTTTAATGTCCATGCCAATGTGACCTAGAATTCGTCTTAAGGAAAGAAAAGTAATTTCAGAGGTGGAGAAAGTTATTAAATTTCAAAGGAATGTTCTGATGGATGAACTATAAGGTTGGTAATGTTTCACATTAGTAACATCTCAGGAACGTGTTCACTGTTGTTGTTGGACACTGTTTTGCACATTTGGACTGCTAAAAGAATAGAATAGTTCAGTCACCTTCATTCTTTAGTCACCCTCATATCTTTCCTAAAGTGTATGCTGTTATTATTGTATTACTGTTGTTTTTTCTGTTATTAAAGTGATAGCTCACCCAAAAATGTAAATTCTGTTGTTCCAAACCTGTATAAATGTCTTCTTTTGTGTTCAGCAGAAGAAAGAAATTTATACAGGTTTGGAACAACTTGAGGGTGAGTAAATGATGACAGAGTATTTTACTTTTGGGTGAATTATCCCTTTAAGGTTCTTTATTGGCATCCAATGGAACCTTTCCATTGCACAAAAGGTTCTTTATAGTGAAAAAAGGTTCGGTCGGTAACACTTTACAATAAGGTCTCATTAGTTAGTTAACTAACATGAATAACAATGAGCTAACATTTGTGACAGTATTTGTTCATCTTTGTTTATGTTAGTTAATAAAAATCCAGCTGTCCATGTTAGTTCACAGTGCATTAACTAATGTTAACAAATACAACATTTAATTTTAATAATGTATTGTAAATGTTGAAAATTAACATTAAGTAAGATTAATAAATGTAGAAGTATTGTTAATTCTTAGTTCATGTTAATCATAACTAATGAAACCTTATTGTAAAGTGTTTCCAAAGGTTCTTATAAAATGTTTATTTAAATTAAACATTTATTTAAATTAAATTAAAACATTTATTTTTTCAAGAACTGTTTACTGAGATTTCTTTAGGGAACCACAGGTGGTTCATCTATGGCATCGCTGTGAAAACCCCCTTTTGGAACCTTTATTTTAAAGAGTGTAGTACACAAAAATAAAGTTTTTCCACATAGCCTACATTAACACAAAAAAACACCATAAATGTGGTCCATATGACTAGTGCTCTATATTTAAGTTGTCAGAAGCCATACAATAGCTTGAGAAACTGAAATATCTCTGAAAAATTTGTTTTCATGGCTGTTTTATCTTATGTTAGGTGAATACGTTGATGATATGGTCACATGACATCCAGCCTATACAATCATGTATAAGAGATGTTGGTTGTGGACACGGAGTACTCTTTCTCTTTCTTTTCTGTGGTCAAATGTTAGAAATAATGACACAAAAAAAGTGTTGGGTAACTATGGCAACAGCACAGTGTGATTGCTCTTGGTCTCTCCCTGTAGGGGTGAAGTTAATAAGATTAGAGTTAGATCTCAGCGATGGCAGCCCTAAAGACCTCAGCTCTGTCTTTTTAATTAGCCCCTCAATTTCTCTCTCTCACACACACACACACACACACACACTGTTTCCAACATTGATAATATATCAGCATGTTACAATGATTCCTGAAGGATCATGTGACACCGAAGACTGAAGTAATGGCTAATGAAAATTCAGCTTTGCATCACAGAAATACATTTTAAATTGTAATAACACAATATTACAGTTTTTTTTCTGTATTTTTTATCAAATAAATGCAGGCTTGATGAGTGTAAGAGACTTATTTTATAACTTTTGACCTGTGCTGTACAAAATCAAAAAATTTAATTTAATGCAAAAATAATGCTATGGGGAAATAACCAGTTTATACATGCGTGTGTATATATATATATATATATATATATATATATATATATATATATATATATATATATATATATATATATATATATATATTCACTCACCTAAAGGATTATTAGAAACACCATACTAATACTGTGTTTGACCCCCTTTCGCCTTCAGAACTGCCTTAATTCTATGTGGCATTGATTCAACAAGGTGCTGAAAGCATTCTTTAGAAATCTTGGCCCATATTGATAGGATAGCATCTTGCAGTTGATGGAGATTTGTGGGGTGCAC